ACTATTATTATTGTTACTACTACTACTACTACTACTACTACTACTACTACCACTACTACTACTACTACTACTACTACTACTATTATTATTACTACTACTACTACTACTCCGACTCCTACTCCTACTCCTACTCCTATTCCTACTCCTACTCCTACTCCTACTCCTACTCCTGCAGTTGTTTTATTTTATGCAGAATTCCGAATGCTGGAAGAGCCGGCACAGCCTTCTCTCGAAAGTTTCTGCTTGAAAGCATCATAGGTACTTCGATTCGGCCCGCTACTTAAGAGGCCTCGGCCTACGAAGTCCTTTAGAGCCCTTCCAATTCCGACCCTGGGTAAGTCACCTTAGTGGGAGCTTACGATTCGTCGGCCTCGAAGGCCACAGATAGAAGATTTTGTGGGGGGGGGTGGGGGGGGACCCTCAACTAAACTCGACACCCTGAACCAGGTATGCTTGTTCTTCCACCGTTGGGGGACTGCTTTTCGATGTCGGCGGATGGCGAGGTCTCTCGATGTATCATGCAGCTTGGCAAAGGTATCCTCAATGACCGGTATGCGGCTAAGGCCAGTGGTCCTGTTTAGTGCGTGGTTTGTTCTTGTTCCTGTTGTGGCAGGCAACCAGGTATGATGACCACTAGTTGTTCTAGGGTTCTATGCCCTGCACTCTCAATGTAGCGGATCTGGAGTCTAGAAACTGGAAGTTAGCTTAGACGAAGCCCAGAAGAGTTCTCCGCATATAACCCCACACCACCATGTACTGCAACAAGCATATCCAAAACTTCCGTGAAGCCGATGGGGAATCTGGGTGCAAGGCAACTCAGGACGGCGAACCAGGCGCTTGAAAAGATGTAATTGTGTGTTTTGGCACGGATTCTACGTGTGACCCTGAACTCAAATCCAGTCCGAGAGTGAGTGCTGAAACTCAAATCCAGAACACTCAGTCCAACCCAGGTCGCCATGCAGGTGGTTCAGATTCTGCTCCTTGTGACTACCCTCAGAGACGAGTTGCGCGAGCTTTGCCTTCCGGCCGCACTGTTGCGGGGGTGCTGGACCTCCTAATCCTAGCAAGCTGGAGCTAAAAACGCCAACCCCTTCATCCGCTCCGTCAAGCTTTGGCAGTCGAAAGACAGGACGTCACACCCCCAAACTGCGCAGCCCTGGGCTGATGCTTTGCAGAGGCTTCGGCAAGAGGGCTGAGGACGTTGCTTCCGAAGTCGTCGATGCGACGGCAGATGCGAAGGAACGCTGCATGCGGTGCTTGAGGCCTTCTACTCTAGCCGGGTGTCGGAGATGAATTCCTTCTGTAGGATTCTGGGATTCTGTAGTGAAAGCCTGACACTGGGCTCGCCGCTGTGGTTGAGTATGGTTCGAGCTCTTGGAGAATCCTCGGCTTGGATTTTGTGTGCTACACAATTCGAAAGTACTAGCATCGCCAACTGGCATGTACATCAATTCTATATTTGTGACCTCGCAGGCGAAACTCCGCAAAGCCTCAAACGGCAGGACATGACACTGCCCGGCGCTTGAATCCAACGAAGTAAGTTCAACAGTTCAACACATCGGAAACTTTGTTGTGTTGTGCATGGGCCGATCATTGTAGCAGCATCGAGTTCAGTGGTAAGACTGCAACAGCAAACGAACGTTTGTTCCTTCAGGACCCCTCAGCATTCAGTATTGACTTTACTGTACAGCACATTGTGGTCTTCGGGCAGTTCGGAAAGCCTTTGGATATGACAGGGAACTGACGAGTCTCTGAGCTATTCTGAGCTGGGGTCGGTTCGAGTACGTCTTGCTAACAGGAGCAACCCAAGCCCATACTTTTTGCAGAGAATCGTGATGACTCTCTCTACTGAGCTGGCGGGGATAGTGCTAATGGTCTCCTCTGGGGTTGTTGTGACGTGTGAAATGGTCACGAGCAAGATCATCGAGGACATGCACTGGCCGTACTGGTACTTGCTGGGAGCTTGCTGCATCGTGGCTACTTTTCTAAATGCACTGTGCATTCTCTGGCAGGGCATCAGGTGTTCTCCTCTCCGAGACATCCGATGGTTTCTGTCACGCTCCATTTTTGAGAACCTGCACTGGATGCTGGCCATCCTGGCCGTGCTGGTCGGAGCTTCGCCAGGCGATGTGGCAGCGCTCACAAGTATTGACATCATCGCTGCTGCACTGTTGGGCCTGATATTCCTAGAAGAGCGAGTCAGCATGCTTCATTTCCTTGCCTTGGTTCTTTCAGTCACTGGTGCCGTGTTCATTTCGCAGCCACAATTCTTGTTCGGCACCGAGGGATCAAAGCAGTCCCCTGTTGGCTACTGCCTGGCGATGCTGTCTGGATTCTTTCAAGCGTGCTGTTACGTGTGTGCCCGCAAGTCTGCCCACATCCCGGTCTTCCTTCTCACAGTGGCGACACTTCTCTTGGCAGTGCCGATGTGCTTCGTTCCACCACTTCTTGGCATTTGCGAAACTAGGTTTGAGCCAGTCATCGAGGCACCCTGGCAGGCGTTGGGTCTTCTTTCTTTGCTGGTAGTCCTGTCTTCACTGTCTATCTTCCTGCCAGCAGCTGGATCAACAAGATGCCCTGCAGCAGCCAGCGCGACGGTGTTCACATCTGCGAGTATGATCTCGGGCTATCTGGCGCAGGCTGCCGTTTTTGACGATGCTCCCAAGCCGTTGAAGCTGCTCGGAGCCGCATGCATGCTGCTCAGCGTCGTGATGATGGCGATCACTTGTCAAGCCGAGGACAAGGCAGCAGAGGAACCGGCGACTTCCTGCAAAGACCCAGCACAAGAGCCGACAGCCAATGCACCCACAGACGACGAGACACAGAGCCTTGGATCTTTCGTCGCCTCAGAGATGTCCTTCACATCCAGCTCTAGCCGCCTCCGACGGCGCAGCAACACCTTCAGCTCCAAACCCTTGCCACAGCGGCTGGGTGCCTGCCTGCCCATGATGGGCTAATTAGTGACAACAGCCCGCCCAAAGAGGTCAACAGAGTTCGTTTTGCTTTGGAACATGCGCTCACACATTTTGCTTGCGGTTACAAGTTGTGGTATTGCAGCTGCCACGGCTGCTGCTCCAGCTGCGTCGTAGCAGTAGTACGAGTAGTGCGAGTACTAGCACTACTAATAATTGTAGTAGTCGTCGTCGTAGTCGTGGTCGCAGT